ACTTTTAAATAGTTAATTTGATACTAATATTGCTTATTTTTTTCAAAATTTTATAATATCTTCAAATTTATATTTCATTCAAAAATAAAAACATTTTTTTCTCAAAACCACATAAAGTCGCATTATAACATCGATAGACCCAAAATATAAAACGAAACAATAAAATCAAGATGTATCTTGCTGCATTGCGCGAGAACCCTTCTAGTATTATTTAACTTAACTATCACATTGTAGATCTTGCTTGTGGAACACCAGCAAATATGAAATACTTTAATTGTCAATAAATTCAAACAAAGAAAGTGTAAAATATGTAAGTTACCACCAGATGACTTCGCTACTTCATACATTCAGTGGTTCCAAATGTGCACACTTGTACAATAAACTGATTGATATTAATATTGCCTGACAGAATCTTTTGAACTGTTTGAGGTAAGTTAATCGAGTAAACTACTGATTCACAACTCCAATTGAATGAAAACAAACTAATGTTAATTTGTCATGTTAAACTCATGAAGTCAAAATGTAAATGCGGATAAAGTAATGGAAAAAGATACTTATATAGCACCTTTAACTGAAGTTTTGTTGATGTTTACTGGAAAAAGCATATGACTTGGAGCAACCAACAATGAGCAATTTTATGAGAAAATAATTTGTGGGTTTTTTTCTTACCTGTTATTCTCATTGAAGCCTAGGAGGTATTAGCTGAGTATTCACAAAACACATCCAAACTATCAAGCTGCTTAGTTCTACTTCTGTAAAATATTTTTGTCTAACCAGTAACCACAATGAAACAATTAGCTCTTAGAAGAAGAAAAAGAAACAATATGGTTGCATCTGACTTTTTTAATCCATGACTAGCTTTCAGTTTCTCCCTAATTAATAAATCTACTTCGTCACCCTCTCTGCCACCAACACAATCTCCTATACTTCATTCTGCAGTTCTTTAATTTAATACTTTATAGAATATGAACTAGTAAAAGCTTTAACTATTCGGCACTTCAATTACATAATTTTTGAATACAAAGGATAAGATAGATACGAACACCTGGTAAAAATGTTTCTGTTGTAATAATATGGAAAAGATAGAAATATGTACATCTGGCTGATCTGTCAGGTACTCTGTATCCAAACTCCAAAGTGAAACATTGACAGTTGGATTTGATGTTTGGATTTTCTTACATGTACAATCATTTAAAAACTCACAACCATTGCTCCTTTATACAGAGTACTTTGAGAACTGATAAGGTTTCAACCTGTTTAAGTACTTCCATGGTGATGCAATCACATGATATTCTTCTATATTCAAACTGTTTGACATTACTCCCTGACAACTTATGTGTATTTATGATTCTTTGTAGTGGGGTGAGCAGAGTTGGAGATGAACTGCTGATATGAGTAGACTATCCTTCAGGCCACGCCCCCTAGACTATAACAAGAAGCTTCCTATTGTAAAATCTATAAAAGATTTTGAAGATGACGAGACCCCAACATCTACTCGTACGCAGATGCTTCGTCTTGTTGCGGAAGCTGATAACGAGACCCAGGTTCAGATTTTATTTTGTTGTTTTAAATGTTCATTTGAGTTTATGTTTCCCCCTATGTTGGCAACACTTCACTGCAAAGGTTGGTATGTGTACTGGCCTACTGGGTAGTACTTCTTATGTCATGGATCAAGTTATCCCCACAATTCACCACATTTATTGAGTGCTTCTATCAGTGAATCATTCATTTGTTTGTTTATTATTATTTGATCATTACATCTAAAGAGAGTTGGGCCTAAAAGAGAGGAGAAAAAATGGCTGAAACTTGCTCTTTTTTCTGAACCAGTCATCATTGTGATAACCACCGTGACTGTTAGCATACTGATCCAACTTGTCTTCTACTGGCTTAAGGAGGCAAGAGAACTGTGATACTAGTTCTTGATGATGAGCTCCTAGTTCTAATGGCCTACAAAATATAAGGAGAGGTAGGATGTTTAGAGAAACAGCAGTAATGATACATATTTCCCCATTCTTTTTAAATATGGGGAGATAAATACAGACTCTATTCAGCTCAGCCTTGTCTATACTACACGGTATTAGCTACATGAATCCATGTCTTCTGTTTACCGTTTTGCTAATTTTAGACCTCATGAGGACAGTATTGTTTACGGAGGATATTAAACATTTAAGTTTGTAGGCTCAAGAGTGTTTTCTACCTTGCTCCTAGAAATTTGATGAGAATAAGATAATGATACTCTAGGATGATATATATCACTTGAAGAAGAAGTCAGTAGTCTGAATGGGTCCAGAAATAAGTCTACTAAGAACTGTGTCGATCAGTTCTTTTAGGAACGAAGTTAGAGTTGTTTTTTACACTATATTTTGAAATTCAACGTCAGACACTGTAACGAGTTGAAAAATCTTTGTACTCTTGAAGAATCTAGGTGGCATAATCACATGATAATGTCCCAGAATAGGCAAGACTTACTTTTAGGTTGAAACTCCTGGGATCTGGAAATAATTCTTTCAACCCATGTAAGGAACTAAGGCTTGTCGGCCTAAGTGATGATGTATTTGAAGAAGTGATTTCTCTGTTGGAGTAAGGTATTAATGTCGGGCACTAGATGAGGATTTCAAAAATCAATTCCACATAACTTTCGTCCTCAATTAGTCATTTTCATTAGCTCGGAATCTTGAAAGCATGATATTAGTCTATAATGTTTTTACAACCATGAATCGTTTGGATGAGTTTTTGACGTACATGATATTAATTGGTGAGGTTGTTCAGGTTTAAGATGTACAGTGACAGAGTCAAGTAAACTTAAGTATTAACTGTGTCAAGATATCTACATGTTTGAGGTGATAGAATCACGAGGGTGCCTTTTAATAAAGGATCACAGGGATGACCTACATGCAAAAGGAACAGTTGTAATGGTTTAATACATGACAAGATATGAAACAGTTCAGGTTTTCAGACCTAAAGCGTAGATTGTACTGTATATATATGGGATGGAATGTTGGTACTCAAGACCTTGATTGTAGGCCAGCAGTGGTCTAGCAAGATGTGAACTTTATGCTACTATAGTCCATTTACATTTCATTACTAGTTACAAATACCATACAGTTTTGGAATGAATTATTATTAGTTTCTTTATCTTACACCTGTGTTCATACAGGGTATATGATTCATTTTAAGTGAATTTGCAGCACTTCATAGCTCATCTTGAAGGATGGTTGATAAGGTGTCAACCCAGTTAGCCACTTTCTAAATTTAAACAGTTTTGAAGGCCAGAGTGCATCATATCTTTTAGCTTGAACTTTGTTGCAGCAATGGCATCGTTTTGACAACGAGCATGGCAAACAATGCTCATGTATATTGACCATTTTTCAAAGCAAAATAAAATTTCAGAAACTTTGACATTTTTAAGATGGAAGTGTAATCATATTCAGTCATATCAGGTCTCGTTGAGTGGAAATGTTAGATTGAAAAACATTAGCTGATACTTTATTCTGACAAAGACTGTATCTGTTAAAAACGTTATTACTCTGTCAAAATTTACCTTTTTACCTAGTTCATCATGCTCATAAAGAAGAAAAACTAGAAGTTACAAAAGAAATCATAATATTTGCAGAAAATAAGATATATGTTGGCTTCTTAAAACTTTGGTTACTTGTTCATTACACTCAAAAGCTGATAATTAAAATGGAACAGTAATGTAGGTGCAGTTTTTTTCGGGACTTCACACAAAAATAGGAGAGCACCCTGTTTTTAGTAGACAGGTAGTGGATAGGCCTGTTAAGGTTTGTACCTGATGAGTCACTGAGCGAACAGAATAGAAGAGAACTAGGACTATGTAATTTGCTGTTGATAGACGCTAACAGAAATGATTAGGCATGGCCATAGCCCGTATGGGTTTGTGTTATATTCATTTTGTTGGTGGCACATTTAATAGAAGCTATATGGGGCTGAGGGTAATTAAAACTAAAAAGGTCTAATCCATTGTCAATGATCAAAATAAACCAAATGTGATTTAGAATTGACCCAAGTCACGTACCTGCACCATTTGAGTCACACCATGCTGCATCTTAGCTCCAATACATGTGCCAAGTTCTATGTGGCCAGGCGCCACCACCAAAAGATCATCATGCCATGCAGCCTAATGTTGTGTTTATGTGCCTGGATAACTATGTGGGCAACGTTGTGCTGATTTGGAATTGATTTAATAAGTATGTTTGGCTTTGTCAAGGAGCCAATGTAAGATTAGCTGCAGTGCTGAAATCTTGCTGATTTCTTGCTGAGCGATTCTATTTGATTTGCTCTTTAGGTACATCAAGTTGCTAGTAAGAAAACAGTATCTGAAATACCTACTCCTGAGTATGTTATTGTGGATACATATGAAAGAGATTATTCTCCCACTTTCAATCAACCAGCATCTTATCTACGTGCAAGGGGAGGTATGTGGAGCATTAAACTGTTAATTTTGGATCTCACTTGAGATCTTTCATTGATAGTATTAGAATATTTGCAGCACGAGCTGAGATAGGAGATTTCGTCGAGTATGATCTTGACAATGAGGATGAAGATTGGCTTGAAGAGTTCAACAAAGAAAGAACAATTCTTCCAGCTGAAAAGTAAGTCCTTTTGGTCCTACAGGTGCTTAATGTTGTATACCCCTTGCTCTTGCAAGTTCTGCCTCTTGCTTTTTTTGTCTTCCATATTCTTTCATATGGAACTTTACCTAATGCGCTCAAGAGCAAGTGCACCGAATAAAGATGAGGAGTACTGTTCTCATTTGATCTTTATAACTGGTGCAGATTTGAGACTATTTTATTTAAATTAGAGGTATTGGATCATAAGGCTCGGGAAAGAGCAGGAGTTATAACATCGACACTTGGCTCGCCTATACCTGTGCTTTTGACATTTGATGCTGCATCCGAGGTAGGAACTATTGCAACTTGTTTAAATTTTTCTATCATTTATTAATTGTGCTTGACAGGGGTAATTATATTTAAAGATGGTTCATTTATATGGAAATATTAGCTCTATGTTGGTTGGTTTTATTTTCATATCTAAAAGCATGCTGATATCATGATTTATACATATCCATGGCTGTGTTTAGCTCTTCAAAGTCTTCTCACCTAGGATGATCACAACAAGAATTATTCAACAGGATCAGGACAGCATATACATAATTGAATTCTTATGAACTTGCTTGCACTTGTGTGTAATTGTTCATTATTTATTTATTTGTACCTGCAGGGGAATAATGGTTATTAATCGTATCTTATTTTATCTATTTGCAAGGCTCTTCAAGCTCTTTCCATACAATATGGAGTTTTCCAGTCTATTTACGGTTACTGGAAGGAAAAGGTATGCCATTTTCAGTACAACATCTAACCATGCTTCAATGGAAGATAATCAGTATTCTTTATACTTTATTGGCCAAATTTAGTTTGTAAAGTAAGTGGTAGAGTACGAATCATCCACTTTCCCTTTTGTTACTAATGTCATTTTAAGAATCATTTGGGTGAAAAGAGCAACACTGCTTTTTATACCCCACTAATGAGAAACTGTAAATAACAGGTTAATCCTCCAATTTATGGGGGATGGTGCATTGCTGCATCGATTTTGTTTTTGCTTCACTGTAATAGATATTTTTGGTTTCAAATAAATCAAACCAAACAAATCCAGAAAATCCCACACAAGGTGGGGTCAGAGGAGGTTAGGAACTAGGATGTACGCAGATGTTACCTCCATCCTGAGGAGTAGAGAGGTTGTTTCCATGATACTCTTTGTTTCAGATGTAGTTTGAATATCCAGACATGTAAACGTCGTTCACATCCTTTTAAAACAGAAGAACAATTGGAGCAGCTAATTCTTTTCCTGCTCGACGGCAGGTCTTGCAGTCAACCACTTAAGCCATGGTTTTGTCTATTACTAGTTCTTCCTTCTGAGTTGAGACCAATCTATCATGTAGATGATGATAAACTAGTGGCCTCAGATATTAAATCTAAGGATGATTTATTGGAATAATACTCTTACAAATCTATTAACAACAAGTATAGCTACACCATAAGAATTAATAATATATGAGGAAATTGGTGTTTGTTAGTCTCCCAATATGGATAAAGCTGACATTTGAAAGATATCTATTACTTCAAAGCTTCTGTGTTTCCTGGTCACTTTTTATTATGTACATCTATGTTTGCAATCTTCACTTAAATGCTTCCGGATGAAATCCTGAACAATGAACAAAATTTTAGGAACAGTCTTGGTATTTGATATCATTGAACTTATGAGTTTTGCAATATAAATTGTTGTGGATATGCTTGTGTAGATCTTGCAGGAGAAGAGAAAGTTACATAACGTGATGCATACTGTTTTCTTTGCATGCCTTTTCGAATTCCCCTAGTTCATAGATGTTCTTGAACTATAGTTCCCAAGAATAACATGCTTCTTCGTTGTTGTGGTTAAAATAGTGTGTATATGAAAAATCCTTCTTGTTGTGGTGAATGATTCTTGCTGTACGGTCTACTGATATCTTATGGTTATTGATGTGTGCTTTCAAATTTGTTTCTTTTTCCATCAGCGAGAACGATGGCTAAAACCTGTTTTGCGGCGCTTGCAGGTTAGTTTTCTCTCATGGTTACTGAGGTATTTTCATTCAGATAGCATATAATGAGACATAGGACATTTCATTCAGATAGCATATAATGAGACATAGGACAATCTCTCTCCATAGTCCATACTAAAAACATGTTTTACCAACAATTCTTTGGAATATCTAGTGTCCTTGGGCCCTCCATTTGTGTGCTGCATCTGAACTCTTGGCAACTATAAGTTACCCTTATGGTGCCATGGCTTTTTGATATCATAAAGGGCATGTTCAGCCAAGTTCAGATGCATAAGACGTGTGAGGGAAAGAAACACTGATCAAAATAAGAGATTCTTTCGTAAATCGTCTCACATGTCATAATTTACCAACCATGCTTCATGCTCATCCCTCTTTCTGCAAAAGCTAATATGTGTTCTTTTGGTATTACAGCCGCCTCCCCCAGTTAACGACACCAATCCATACAATGTATTTAGGCCAAGGGAGAAAGCTCACAGACTTCATACGAGAAGGGTAAGTGCCTGAGAAGCTATTATTGACTTCAACCCATCCCTTCTGCTAATTTGAGTCTCTTTTACTTTTTTTTACTATAAAATACGGTGTACTAAAAGTCTCTCACCTACGGCCACTTACATGGTCGCCTAGGCATTAAGTGGCCCCACTGCTCCGATTAATTAGGGCCAATTAATTGGCTGGCTAGGAGTTAAACATGCCTCACCACTTAGATTAGCAACTAGATGTAGAATTAAGTGTACTTGGAGTGTATTTTCTCAAACCTTTCTATGCATTAAGGGTACAAAGAAACTAGACACCTAGAAATTTAAGATGTAGTATCAGAATTCATTTCTCATATCATATGTTACTGTAAAATAATTATATAATATACTTAAGTGGACAACTTATGCTTCCGCTTAATCGTCCACTTAATCACTGCTTTGGGTATTAAGTGCTAGGAAGTCTCGATCACCTAGTTCTGCTTAAAACTTTCTAGAACAACGATTGAAAATGTTATAATTGACTGCTTTTCACGATGTTCAGATGCAAAGACGGGAAAACAACGTGCAATCATTTGAAAAGCTTCGGCAGGTAAGCTTCGGACATGTTTGGATATCCATGTTTATTTGATGTGCTCCATAGTTTAGTATCTTTATTTGCAAGTAGATGTTAATCTGTTATTACTCAAAAAGCACACCCATGTCTTCTTGATCATTGCCTGTGAGTAGTTGGCATGAGGTATAAATATGATGTGTCATATATTGGCTTGGTCATCTTAATTGATGTGTTCATTTACTTTAGAGAGGTAGCACATAGGCACTCATGTCAAATACACCATCTTAAAAATGTATACCAAGATAATTTTAGGTGATTATTTCTCCCCTTTCTGAGATGGTTGTTCGAGTTCAACCTGGTGAGCATAATCTATTTCTTACATAAATGTATATTATAACACTGATCCGTCCACCCATATAATTTCATGCCATGAATTGTGTTTGTACTATCTTCGTATCTTACATTTTAATCTTCCATCAGGTGAGGCGCAACCTCGACCAAGCAAAGAACCTACTAGAGGCTCTAATCAAGGTCTGTCCTTCCGCTCTCTCTCTCTCTGTCAACTTCTTTTGATTGTTTTTGCTAGTAGTACTTACTAGATGAAAAATCCCTGATACAGAGAGAGGAGAAAAAGAGAGATGTCATGGATAGTGAAGTCAGCCTTCAAAGGATACAAATGAAATACAAGGTAAATTTTAGTAGTATGCATCTTTTCATGCTTATCAGCAAACAACAGCTAACCGATGGTTGATCCTTGCATGAAGACATCATGAACATGATCCTTACCATCCTTCTTGTAGAGTGAAGTTGGTCTAGTAGCCAAACTATTAGATGTTCATTTCAGTTCGGTGCATATTATTCCCTCTGTCCCAAAAGAAGTGTCTACATTTATGTTCTAGTTTGTTCAAAATAAGTGTCCATTTTCAAAAGTAATAAGTGCCTACTTTTCGATTCTACCCTTAAATATTAGATGGAAATTTATTACTTCCTCTTTTATTAAGGATAAAATTCGCATTTAGTTAATTAACAAGTGTAATAATTACACATTTCTAAAACTGTGTGCCTTTTTCATCGTGGACGTTTATTTTCGGACGGAGGGAGTAGATAAATATTTAGATGATTTCTTACTTTATTCAATCATTTAAACATTGACACCAACATGATTTGCCTTCGCTTATTCACACATATGCTCAGTGGGCTTCCATATTTAGACATCTTCATCTTTTACCTTTTTCTAAGGACACTCTGTTCTACTACATAGTATTTACGGCTCATCATTTAAACCTTATTACTCCCTCTGTTTAAAAATAAGTGTCCACATTTCTATTTTAGTTTGTCCCAAAATATGTTTCCACTTTCACATTCTACCCTTAATTATGATATGGAGATAATTTCGCTCTCTATTATTAGGGTAAAAGTGTCATTTAGTTAATTAAAAAGTGTAATAATTACAGTCCTAAAAGTGTCATTTTCCCTGTGGACATTTATTTTGGGACGGAGGGAGTACTTTCCCCACCCAAAAAAATGCAATATTTGATCTGGTACATAGTTCAATGGAAGTGTCTGTCTATTAACTAAATATCTATAGCACCCCTTAGTAGTGCAAAATAGGGGAATTACTTGAACTGAAATCAAAGGTGCAAGAAGCACACAAAGATAGGCATTAAGATCTAGTCTCTATCCTTTTTTACGATTGGGGCTCGTCCTCTCAAAGTTGATGTAATCTGTTCTTATAACCGCCTGTCCTAACAAGTCTTATCTGGTCCCTGCTCGTCCTTGGTCCCAGCCCCCAACCCCTAAGGTGGTACGCAACATTGTTTATTTGCCCTATGGTAATTGCAGACATTTATTTATTTCCTACTACTGCATGTAATATCCCAACAATTTCAAGCTGAAGTGGCTCTTTATTTTCAGCATGTATCTGATTTTTTTGGGCCAAAATTGCCACACCCTTTATGTATATTTACTGAATGATCATTTGTACATTTATGATTTTCTAGAATGAGACAGAGCTTCTTGAAGACAGTTTAGCTCTGCCTGAAATGCCATCTTTCCAGTCCAAATTTGTTTCAAGTGAGGACGAAATTTTAGACACGGATGATTTTCCACACAACCGTCTTCGTTTTCAGCCTCATGGCCTAATCGACTCAAGGCTGGTATTGCCTTCTGGAGGGGGCATGAAACGAGAGATCAGACGCCGACCTGTCCCATTTACTTGGCTCCATAAATTGGTACGTCTCATAACTTCTGTTACTTGGCCTCTTTCTTTCTTTTGACATGACCAAGTGTACCGAGGTGCATGATATATCCCTACATTAGGATCCACAATCACACAATAATAATTGCAGTAAACAAAATATTAAACACACTGGATATATGTGGTTCAGCAATTTGCCTTCATCCATGGTTGTCGTTAGGAATTTTATTATATTTCGAAATATCAGTTGTATATACAAAGAAGACCTTCATAAAAAAATTAGATGGAAAATGAAGACAGGAAAACCATATGAAGATTGCGTCTTTTTCGTACAAAGTTAGAATCCAATTTGATAGGCGCAAGTTCAAATGAGGACCGTAAATATTTTGAGAATATGGGAACCAACTCTTAATTTTTATTCATGATGAAAATTATTCATAACGAAAATACATAGTATTCATGATAAAAGTGCATGATATTACCAAAGAGTCTTTGGCCTAGTAGTATCCGGGTTACCTGTAAGATCCCAACCTCTTGGAGGTCAAGGGTGTGAGTAATTTGCCTTATATTATCTATACTTCAAAAAAATGCATGATATCATGAATTATGAAAATGCATGATAATCATGATTATTCACACATCCTAACTAGAAGTATACCCGTGTAATGCACAAGATGTATGTTCTAACCCAAAGATCTCAAATATTCTATCGTTTATTTGGTTGGTTGACCTTATATTTGGGAACGGTAGTAGAGGTTTCCGAAAAACTCTTCTTAACATTTAAAGGAGAGCAGGATTGGAATTTTTTAAGAACTAATAAATCTTGTATGCATTAATAATTTATACTTAATTTTTTTTAACGTTGTACCCTTCAAAAATTAAGACTTTTTAAGAACAAAATCCTAAATGCTTTGTAATACAGTGTAGACACATGAAATAGTTGGTTCTCAAAATATTTATAGTTAACATTTGAACTTCCCCCGATTTGATATACAGCTAAATGGTGAATGTTGGGTTTGGGGGAATATAAACATATTTTCATCTCTTGTTCCGTATCTTTGCAGGATCCACTTGAACCAGTATTCCTATTCACAAAACCTCTGGTGCCAGAAAAGTTGGCAGCAGCAAGGATTGTGCCACCAGTTGGTTCACGCGGTCATAATTTCCGTGGGAGGATCGGGAGAGGGGGAAGAATAGTATTCGATAGATGGAATCCGCTGATGCATACCCCAATCGAGTGTAGTGAATATATGCCTCCTAAACCACGATCGGCCACGCATAATTGATGATTTATGTAGGGAATGTAGATTTTTACTTGTAGGATGTAGGTGATTTCATGCAGAAAAAAAAAAGGGTCAAAAGAGGGCAGTTGTTTATTATGTTTGTGTGGAAGTTGGGCTGCCTTCACTTCTTGTGAAATCTGTTTGTATTATTATCTAAGTGATACATATTCTGTTTTGTAAATATAGGGAAAAAGAAGCAAGAAAATTCAGCTTCCTTCTTGTGGGTTAACACTTCACATTTACGACTAATTTTAACCAAGAACACAAGTTATGGTCCTTAGGGATCATGGACTGACTTGTTTTCTAACCTCATTTTTGCTCACATTTGCTTCAAGAAATTAGGGTATTCATGGAAACAGGATGGACATAGGCATGGCAACGGGGCGGGTTTCGTAATCCCGGCCCCGGTTTGTAGTAACGTCCCCTGGCCTCTGTCCCCGGCGGGTACGGGGATTATTATCCTGTCCCCGGTCAAACCCCGTAAATAGTATCCTTTAGTTTGATTCTACCGGGGATCCCCGGCCCTGTCCCCGTCCCCGGTTTGAGTAACATTCCCCATCCCCGGTTTGAGTCTATCGAGGATCCCCGGCCCGGGACCCGTTTTAGTGGGGAATCCCGGTCCCCGTTCGGGTCGGATGAATCGGGTTTCCCACGGGGTCGGGGAAAATCACCATCCCTAGGCAGACAACATATAACGGTATGGTACGTTTCATGGCTTTGTCGTAATACCCAAAAAAATGAAGGGGCGATTTGTATCGTTTTGTTGGTGCTCTTATATTTCTTGAAACTACAACAATGACGCAAGTTTCTCTTGGCAAAGATGGTTTGAGTTGTCTTTTGCGGGTTTGATTCTTGTATGTATCAATTTTCTTAGTTTATAGCTATTAATTTCGGATTTATCACGTTTTTTTAAAAAGATTAGGATATAATGTTATAAAAGGACTCAATCTTGAGACCTTGCATTTGTAAGGTAAGAAACGAAACAACACACCAATATGTTTTTATTTCTTTTACTTAAAACGGTTCCAATTCCATCATGAAAATAAATTTCTAGGTCCATTATAGAAGATGTTTTGTATTTTAGACTGTTTTCGGTGAGAAATATCCTGAACTGATTTGTTGAAAAATCATCAAATTTGCAAGAACGTTACTTTTTTTTAATTATATATTAAAAGAATTATGAACATCGATAAGAAAATCAGATATATACATTGAACAATAAAAATTGTATTAAAATACATCATACGAAATTTCTTTTATAAATTAAAAATATTTTAGAATTTTTATATTTATGAAATAAATAAAAATAGTATATATATCGTCACCCAATTCTTATCATACATACATGGATTTGATGTGTTTTTCATCACATTTATCATCAAGATACACTTATTTTCCACAAGAAATCAAGAAACACAAACAAGAAATTAAGCCGATAAACATCCGATCCCATATCTGGTGTTCGGAAACACCAAAAACAGACCGCTGCACACGATCCCGACCATCAATGGAAAACTCTGCATAGCTTCATCCATTTCCTTCGTGTGCCTCGGGAACAGGCAGTTCGTAACCCGATGATCAGAGAATGCAATCGCTACGAAAACCATCGATGACATCATCGCATGAATGAAATCCGTGAACCCGAGATTATACCTCTCGTCTTTAGGCACTTCCACACCTGGTGGGGACGATTTAAAGACTTTTAGCCCCCATGGGCTCACAAACCCGTAGTAAGTCTTTCCATCGGTCCCACGAAAACTGTCTGTAAAATGGAAGAAAAAACACGAAAGCGTGCAAATCCCGAGGAGGACGTTGATCATGAGGGTTGTGACGGCGGTGCATTCGCCTTTCCCGTAAATGGACGGAAGCACCATCTCGAAGGTGAGGAGGGTTCCGGTTGGGAGGAAGTTTACGAGCATTGAAGTCTTGGAGAGCGTTTTTTGGACCCCGTTCGCCATCGCCCGCCTTTTCCGACCACCACTGGTTTGAGTGGAGTCTGGTGGCGGCATGGTGGGTGGTGGTGGCGGCGGGTGGCGGTCGATGTTGAGTTGAGGGGAGGGAGTGTAGATTCTGACACCAATTTCATCGGATTGTTCCATTTTTTGGATTAGAAAGTGGTCTGAATTTTTTAGATTTGGCGTATGCTTTTTATGCAGATTGTAGCGGTAACTGCATTTTCAAATTTAGGAACGGCGGTTAACGGCCAGTTTAAACCGTCACCTCCGCCTTGCATTTTTGTAGATTTAAAAAAGTGTACCATCATTTTATGGGATTGCATTATTTAGTCCTTAAACTTTAAATATTGTTACTTTTGCCCCCTATAAAAGAAATTGTGAAAGAGATGCATTATTTCTCTAAAGAAGCCGTTTGTGTAAATACTAGAATGAAAAGGTCAAATGGGTAAAAATCATTTAACGAATTAAAATGAGTCGCGAAGTCAAAATAACATCACATTTACTGTTCATTTTTTTTATTAAGGATTTTTAATATTTCAACAAATGATCATGTGGGTTTAAATGAGAATTGTGAATAGTTTAATAACAAGAAAACAAATTTTTATTATACATTTATCTTTGGATATATTTATTCACAGAATATCTGTATTACTTTATGTTGTATACTGTTTTATTTCATATTCGATAAAAACAAGGATGTTCGGTATCCACATTCGGTACAGGCAAACATCGATACAAGTATTATCCGGTCCGTTTACACCCGGATCGGAAATACACATAACCTACAAGATTGTGACTTTCAAATGTCAGCAAATAGATATAATGTTGCACACAAAAGGAAATTGGAACCAATTTGTGGATCTTGCTGGTAAGTGTGGATTTGTAGGTTCGCTTCCATGCAACTTGATTGATTCTATAGACCTTGAAAATAACAGTCATGAAAATCACTAGTATCCGGTGAAGACTCAAACCAACCGTCTATAGACCTTTATTTGTCGGTCCATCGGACCCTCAAGGTTAGTTCATGCCTTCTTTCTGGAACATCTGACCCCATCACCACCATCCGATTGTGGTGGATCCGTCCCGCTTTTCTTTCGTTTGCCACTGAAATCCGTACCCAAGTTCCCCTTCAACGACCGGATTTTTTTCCATCGGATTTCGATTAAGTAGCAACACGGCATGGGGTGATGGTGCACTCAGTGCCCCTTCAACACAGTTGCCTGCCTGACCACATCCCCATGGTCTAGCGGTCCATCCTCGCAATGAGAAGCTCGGGATCGGCTTTTTGATTTTGATGAAACCCGTTGATCGGGAGCGTTTTTAGTTTTAAATTTAGTACTGGTAGGACAAGGAGGGTCACCTTTTTGTGGTTTTGGTGTTGTTTGATCCAAGCATTCGGCATGAAAGAACTCCGGTGACCGGCATATCTCTGCTTCTAATAATCCGGTGAGAACTCCAGGATGATCTCCAGGAAAGAAACCGCTCACACAGGCCGCATTTTGGGAGAATCAGATTCAATTGGTTCGGAAACATCCTAAAGCTCGAATTCACAATTACCGGTGCTGAAATCCGGGACTATTTCTTACGGGTGAACCGGTTTGGTCATCAAGCAACGGCCACCGGTGAAATTATGGCGGGAGGATGGTGATTTTGCCGTTATATGCTAATCGCTACCGTCTAAATTGGAAGCTCTTTGGTAGAGGGAGGGAGGGAGGGTGTAGTGGAAGAAGAGCAATGGCAAAAGTAACAGGGAGGGTTGAGTAAGAACAAAAAAATTTGTTTAGGGACTCTTTGGCAATTGCTGAATGATTTGTTACAGATTGATTAAGTGGTCAAAATGATTAATAGGCTTTCATGATATAGTGTAAAATGAAATATAATTGTTTGGTAATTGTGTACAATGAAATTAGGGTTCTTAATGGTTAAGGAAGATCTAGGATACAAAATTATTCAGAGGGTTTTAGAACCATTAAGAGGCAGATTTTTTTTTTGTCAAACAAGATTACCTCTTAACGATTCAGATGTTACCTCTTAATGGAACTATTAAGAAGTAAACAAACAACCCATTTACTCTTAAGTCGTTGTCAAAGGATGCTCTTTTACTCCAACACTTCGATCAGCCGACTTTCGTCCCTGCTCGACGGGTGAGTCTTACACTCGAGGGTCAATCTTGGTCGGGCCCGGGGAAATCTTTGCACGCCTCCGTTACCTTTTGGGAGGCCTACGCTCCATAAAAACTGTCTACCTGACACTGTCTCTAAGTCATGCAACAAAATTACACATAGTGGCAGATCCATGAGTTTTATCTAGTGGGGTCACTTTTAAGCTAAACTAAAGGCTTGAAAAATCGTTTGATGTGTTTTTAGCCTACTTACACCGTTTCGAGGGATTTTTAAAGTTTTTTTTGGTTGGTTTTAAGAATTTCTTTTAGTGTTTTTGTCGATTTTGAAAGACTTTTTCGGTTTTTTGTTTGATTTCATGAGACTTTTTTGATTTTTTATTTGATTTCATGAGACTCTTTTGGTTTTTTTTGATTGATTTCTAGAGTTGTGTCACTGGAAACATGCCATGTAAGCAAATAAAGATCGGTTTAGTAGGTAACTAGTTACTTATTACTATAATAGATAGATTTTTTAAAGTACAATGTTTTAATAAAAAATAATATAAAAGTGCATTACTGTAATAAGAAAAAAAATGAAAGTAATCGTCACTTTCTTCTTCTTTGAATCTTTGTCAAATCTTATCAGCCAAATCAGATTGTAAACACTGATTCGTTGACCTATTACGTACTTGTACATGATTTTGGAGATGGTTTTCATACTCGGGGTCGGGGTGTATGTTATGAGAGTTTGAGACATAGTATAGTATAATTAACATCAACATCTATATCATCAAATCGACGAATGTAAACATGACGTTCATCTTCGATGATCATATTGTGCATGATTATACATGTTCTTATTATTTCTCCAATTATCTCTTTGCACGACATACAAGACGACTCACAATAATAGCAAAGCATGATCTGAGTACCCCATACGTTCTCTCTACATCTTTCCCGGTAGCCTCTTGTTTCTTTGCAAATATAGGATCACAGAGAAATAAAATACAGAAGATGGTCGTTACATTCCATTATCTTCAAATGCTAACAGGAAGCGTCGACTCCTCTCAGGCACCGGGAAGGAAAGCCTCGAAGAATACAGATAAAAACACCATTTATCAACAGATTCTATTGAAAACGAACAAGTGACAATGTTATATATAACGACTCAATATTGAAAAAGAAAAAATACAGGTGATGAGATAATTCCATGCATCATTAAAACAAATAAAACGAGAAGATCGAAAAAGGGTCATGAAATTGATAGAAATAGATCCCACAACAATGCCCGAACCACATATTAATGTTAAATTTATTAAAAAAAAGTCGAATATAATGTTAAATTAATAATTTAATGAAAAAATATATCAATATTAATTACAGATTATTGTATTTTTTATAACCAAAATCTCATTCGATAAAATATTCATACATTTTTTATAAAAATACTTTACAAAAACATGATATGATGTAAAACAATTTTTATTAAGAAATATCCTACAACAATTTCTTATTGAGAACTTATACCCTACAATTTCTTATATTATACATTGCTACATTAGTAAAAAATATTGATGTGACATTAACAATTATCAAAAACTCACTTTCTATTAAAAATTCATACTCACAACTAGACATGGCCAAAAATCGGTCCCAAGCTAGGTCGAGCGGAGCCGAAGCCGGTGTGACGCTTTAAAGTTGAATTTTCTTCCATCGTAAAAAGAGTTTGACACATTTTGCATTGCACCTTTCTTTTCCGTTCATGAGGATCACCATGTTGTATGCATTCCAAATCTTAGACTTTCGTCTATGCACGGAAAGAACTTGGGCAACATGTTTGTTTGATGCATTATGTTGTTCACCGGCCATTTTAGAAGACAGAGAAAAAGAAATGAGAACTGAGAAGAGTGAAAGCGAGAAATAAATACGAGCCGAAATCACAAAATATAGCGAGACCTGTGAACATTGTTATGCATTTTGTAAGTTGGTATCTTACCCCATACACCGTAACATTTATATATAGTATTTAGGAGACCAAAATGTCAAAAAAAGGGTCAGATTTTGAAAAATGGTCAGATGACCGTTGGTCAATAGTCAAAATTCATAAATCTGGACCGAGCCTATAACCAGTCCCAGTCCGGGTCGGTCCTCCGAAACCTCCAAAATCAATATCGATCCCGGGATGGTCCTTTGCCGATCATGGGTCGGGTCAGACCGGTTTAGTCATGTCCACTACAACCATCACAATTTTTTAATAAAAAATCCCAAGTGACAATTAAAAATCCATTAGAAATTCATTTGAAATCTTTGTAGTGAAGAGTAATTTTGTTTCATATATGAAACATTCACATTTATTTTTTGTGTGGATTAAAAATACAAAAATACATTTATATATGATATACATACACACTCATACATGAGAAGAAATATAAGAAACAATATGAATACAAATTTATTGGATTAATTTCCACAAGTTTATAACATTTATTTAGTTTGTATTTCAGTATCGGTTTTATAGTATAAACCAACGGTCAATGCACTAAATAAACTCCCAATTTCTTACTCGACCGATGCTTGTCAACCACCTCCAATAACTACCAACTGAGATTATGCTTTCGGAAAGTACCGACACCTAGCCATGGTGATTGTACCCGACCCGTTAGGGAACCCAATCCACGATCGCGGATGGGGTTTCCCTATAAAAACGGGTTAGGCCCGCGTAATGCATTCCCCAACCCTTCCCCGTATATATATAGAGAGAGGAGCGATCAAATGAAAACCACCTTCATTTGTACAAACCGTACAAACTACCCTCATACGTCGATTTCATTGTTTAATCTTATGAATTTTTTTCATGAAATTGTTTAATCTTGTGAAATTATTTCATATAATACTTTTTTTGATGAATTTGTTTCATATATGATTATGAAATTGTTTCATATAATATTTAATAAAATTTTAATGAAACTGTTTCATATATTTCTCTAAAATTAAAATAATAAAGATGAAAATATCTATGATTAACACACTCCACAATAAAAATGATTAATAACCTCTCATAATTACAAAAAAATAAACAAAATGAAAAATTATAATTGATTGAATATGGTTTTCACAGTTTGTACAAATTAAATAGTTTTTATTTGAACTCTCCTCTGTATATATAATATCGTTCCTTTTATGTGAGTTATGCTACCATAACTAACATAAAAGAGAATGTCAGCATGTGAGAATGTGCTATTTGATAATTTGAAACCAAACGAAACAAAACAGTCTGAACTCTACCTCAAAGAGTAGATCAAATTGCAAATTGGAATTATGGTGATGATATGGGTAACTACATAACATACATACATGATACATACATACATACATGTGCATGGATGGTAGTGTCTTCTTACTTGCAAGCAATCCCATATGCATGAGGGTTTATCAGTGATGCAGAAGAAAGGAAAGCCGTTTTCATGTCGACATTCGAGAATCCAGCTGCCGAAATATTGTCTCCTGTTTCCCTCGTAAGATGGCATCCATCTGCAACCGTCTGCTGCAATGGATCTAAAACACGCTGCATAACTTTCAGAACCGTACCATCTGCTCCAGGAATAACACCCAAAATGAAGTCAAAAAATAGCAAGGTAACTTTACGGTCTTACCGAGTGACCAAGTTCTATAACATCGTACATGTAGTCTCATTTCAAGCTGATTATTGTACTGATCATGTTACAGGGATAACTCGATTGGTAAGACAGAGATCACCAGTTCAAGTCCCCTCAGGGCTCGACTGTTAAGTTCAAGGCCCCGTGGGATTGATCAGAGGTGCAGACAAGTTGGCTCAGACACCCATGGTAAATCAAAAAAATGTTAAAACACTGGCAATAGTACACTCTGTTTGTATTTATTGGGTGCTCTAATGTAGATTCAGTTAAGTACCTTTGGCAGCTACATGTTCCACAAAAATGTAAAAGCCACCTGGTTTTAGCACCCTCTTGACCTCTGCACACAATCAAGATGGCACTCAATTTTTCTACGATGATAGTGATGTAACCAAACGGACCCAGTAAATCCCATACAGAGGTAAGTCTGGTGATGTATCATTGTGTGCTTTATGGAATTTATAGTTCCGTTTTGTAAACATCTAATGACGATGTTCATAAAACATCATAGGATCCCAGAGCGGAAGTTTCCAGAAAGAAAGGAAAAACGGGCATTGTTCAAGAAAATAGTCGGCTTTTGATTTTGGAAATTCAAACCTTCCTACTTTTCAAAATTCAAATTGACATCGATGCTTTAGCTTGTTAGAGAAGAGCCACTTTAAGATGGTATAATTAACACCAGTAACTATTGTAAAATGGCTTTTAGCTTGCATACAAATCACCGTAGTTGCAAAACCCCCCCAAAAAATACCATCTTTCGACGATTTGAACATTTATAACCACTGTACTTGGCTTCTAGCTTGCAATGAATTGGAGTACAAATGTTCAAGTTTTCCAAGTGTAATGCCTTTTTGTGATTTTTGCAACTACATTTGTTCTTTTTTAAGCTTAAGTCATTTAATTCTAGATATTAATCACTCCCTTAAGATGTCACTATCATATTGATACAGATTAAAAGGTAACTCAATCTGACAAGATAATCATATACCCTGAAGAGTCTTGTTAACATCCTTAACAGAACATAAAACCAACGTACCCACCACCGCATCCATGGAAGCATCATCTACAGGCAATGCTTCTGCAACCTGCATAAACTTTCCATTTTTAGGAAGTCCTTATGCAGGTTATACTGAGCTAATACATTACATCAAAAGAAAAGAAATATGGAAATCATATTACGGACTTAAGTTCTACTATATATTTTCCTCTGTTTTCTCTTTCTGATGATTCCTTAATTGATGTCAACTAAATGCCAATCATTAACATATTGTTGAGCGTTTTCATTTTGTAAAAGACTAACAAACCATTAACAAAGGGTTCCACCTCTCATTATAATTCACTAGGCATACCCACTTAGAATCTCAATCATTTGCAAACCACCTAATTCATACAAACCAAACAGTTGAGATATTTATGGAAAATGATGAGGGTTCATTTATTATGATCTGAGATATTTATAGAACCAGATATTCATTAGCCTAGATGGAAGGTTAAGATTGGTTTGTATAGTTTGTACGAATTAGAAGGTTTGCAAATGACGTCCACTTATGGGATTCGGACACAAGACCTATAAGCTATTATGAGTAATTCCTAACTATTTGGAAAAGCCAAAGGGGAATCATACTGTTGGTGTTAATTAATGATACCAATGGTTTATGCTATTAGTGTTGATTATATATAATATTATTGTTGATTTGATACTAGATAGTGATTCTTAAATACGGAACTAGTGCTTAATTAAGGCTATGTTTGGCAGGCTAGGTAATAAGCTAGTTGTTGGCTGATAAGCTGGCTGAAAAATTAGTTATATTTGGTAAAAACTAGCTGACAAGCTAGATGACAATGTAAAATGACCTAAAAGGATATGTTGAAAAATTAATTGAAAAAATACAAGGTGCATAATTGAAAAAAAAAAGTGGACAACAACCTCCGAAGCTTATTGAAAAGCTACTTGACCTAAAAGGATATATTTTCCACTTTTAAGTGATACACCTCATATCATTGAGGCTCGTTTCTTACCTTATGCTTCATGTCTAGGCTTTAGGGATACCGGATACCTTTGCATCTCTTAAACAACAATCAAACATGCAACTTGAACGGTATCCAACACATCCACTGGGTGGTAATTCTTTGGAGTTCTTTTTTGAAGGGTACCCCAGAAATGCGCAGACTAATTCCGGAAAATTGCGACTTCAAGACATCAGCCCTAATAAATTCAGAAGCCACAATTGTTGCGGACGCCAGGAATGAACAAGGGGCAGATTGGATATGCCACCACATCCCTAGGCCTCGACCACTCGTGGGTAATTCTTTGGAGCTTGTGGGCTCTAACATCGTTTTCCATTTCATAATCCAAAACTCAATAAATGGGACTTCCTTTTTTAAATTTGTATTGACGAAGATTAAGGATTAAAGCATAAAATCATGATGAAAACATACGGCATGAATAAACTTGAAGTTCTTTCGAGGCAAACCAGAAGCTTCTGCTGCAGCTTGAGCATACTTCTCCATCTTTCTATTTGGATCTACACCAACTACACTTGCACCAGAAGTTGCACTACCATAATACTTGAGATTAGGACCTGTCCCTATCCCAATCTCCAATATTTTTTCGGCCTTCCCTATCAAATTTGCAAAAAGCTGTGACTTGTAGCCTGCAATCTTGTCAGAATAACAGGTGTCATTTACACAAACACAACAAAGGCAAGTGAAAAATAATGAAGTTTTCTATAACATTTCTGGTATACAATACAAAGTTTACTTGATTACCAACCTCAGCCTCATAAGATTTCATTGTTTTATCCATGGCTGCCGCGTAAAACTCCTCATACCAATCAGGTCTTGGAGGATGAACCCTGTCCAGCACAGCCTTCATAGAGCATTGAAACCTTTAAAATCATTCAGTAATTGTAAATATCAAAAACAAAAAGATTCAAAAATATCAAAGTGAAACTTGGAACAGTTATTATGTAATTTCCATGTTAATAAAAATTGCAGAATTAATCAACAAAAAACCCTAAAATCCTTAAGAAGGAACACTATGTTGAAGCATAATTCAGAATTATTAGGGTAGTTCCTGCAAACTACTACACATTTTAACATGTGAAAGTCTAACTCACTAAAATTCAACTTTAGATATTAATATAAACGCTCTTGAGTTTGAGATTTTGTTCAATAAAAAGTAAAATCATCGTTCGGTCGAAAAAACCGATGAACTTCAGATTCAAAGTTAGGTACCATGGGATCATCAGCAAGCGAGTCTGAGCCATTGGAATGGTGAATTGGGATGAGCGCTGTGGAGATTGTTGCTAAAAACGGCCTCCTCCCACATAAGCAAATCCTGTTCCTGCTGCTGTTACCCTTACTACATGGCGATTTCGCGATGTTTTGGATTGATTTGGTGGTAGCGCTACGGCGCGAAAGATTCAAATTCAATTTGATTTTGAGATGATCGAAGGATGATGGTTGGATGGGAGAAGAGGGGAGGAAGAGAAGAGGAGATGCACCAACAAACATGGCGCCTAAAACCTGATTCTGGACTTGCGACTAACCTCTCTTGTGTTTTTCATTTTTCCCTCGAGTAAAATACGATTATCGTCCCTGTGGTTTACTAAAATTGCGACTTTTATCCCTATACTTTCGAAATCATGGTTTTTGTCCCTGTAGTTTGCTAAAAATTGGATCTTCCATTCTCTGTGTTTTTGAAATTACGGTTTTTATCCTTGTGGTTTGCAATTCATTGTCGTTTTCGTAGTGGTTCACCGTTAAGCATGAGGGACGAATAGGACATAGAATGTAAACCATATGAACGAAACCCGTGATTTCACCTTTTTATGGGTGTTTAGCACATATTTGTTGGTCATTGTATAACATGTATAGACAAAAGTATCGATCAAACCGTAGGCTCCCAAATAGCAGAATATGCTTATTGGAGAACAAGTCATGTAAGTGACTTGTGAGAATCATTTTGAAACTGCAACTTGAACCGAAGTTGATTGGTTTTTATCAGATAACACGATACAACAGTTGTATTTGATATATGCTCGATGCCCACCCACCGCCTACTCTTCGTAAAACTAACAAATAACATAAGTTTATTTTGTCCATCATATAATTGAGGCCACATATAACATTCTGAAGATGGTAAAACTCTCAAGATACAACAATGGTATCATCAGACATATAATATATGTGTTTCTTGGTTCTAAGACAATAGGTGCAAAATTCAAGCAAATGTTATCGATACCAATCAAGTCCTGAGGGATGGTTTGGTCTCCGAAATCAAGAAACGCTTTAGTTCGGATGGTTCTCATCTTCAGAACGACACTTGTTGTCACTAATCGAGTCTAATTCCGAGCCTTGATCATCTGTAGCCGTTAGATTTGGGCTGCCATCGTCTACTGCGACAAGAACAACGTTCGTTAAGAGAGCAATCATCAAAGATGACGTTGACTCCAATCGTCACAAAAGGATTTAATTTTTTCTGGGTAACTATGGGTATCCAGGCCAGCTTGCGCCTAGCACGACTAATCCCATGGGCCCCATAAGATGATAGTCAGAAAAATCCCCATCGGCTCTAATAAAAACTAGATGTTGAATGTTCTTAGTTTTGAGTACCTTCTCCTTCATCTGCAGGAGCATAAGCTGACCGTCTTGACCGAGCTTGCTGGTGTGGTGTTGGCTGACGGAAAACATCGAGTGAAACATGTGAGGAACCACACAGACAATGAAATCAAGTTAAATAGTTGTGTCATTTATTTTCTCGACACTGCATTTGTGTTATTGATAAACCGTGGTGTCCAAACCAGCTTTGCACATACTTGGCTAATCTCAGATACTCTAAAGTTAACAGTCAGACAAACCCTCCAGTGGCCCAGAGGGGACTAGAACCGGTGAAACATCCGTGGAGCAAAACCAAGGCCGTGCCAGTTGAGCTACCCCAAAGGATTTGCATTTGTGATATTGTAGTAAGGTCGTTATCATCTTCGACTGTGGAAATTGAGCACACTGGGATCCAGTTTGTATATAGTCGTTGGTTGTGCGTTTATGGTGTCGTTTCGTATGTGGGATTTTGGTACATCTTGTGATAAACGAGTTTTTCGCCCCAACATTTACTACGAAAGAAAGAATCGAGTACCTGCAATTTCGGGCGGAGTGCCTCTAAAGGTCCTTTGCTCTTTTGTGACCCCTGCTATTAGGTATTGCATAAAGGACAACCATAACAGGAAGCATTCAAACTTCCAAATAGATCAAGATTTGATAAAAAAAAAAACCAAACCAAATAATCCCAGTATATCCCACACAGAGGTCGATATCGAGATTCAAGAAAATTTCATTAAATACCTTTCCGAGTGCCCAATCTGCAGAATCAAAGAAAGCGCGATCATGATCCTGTATATGATCAACCAAGAAAGCTGTTGGTGACTACAACTATGAACCTATAAATTTTTCCCTAAATAGAGAAAAGGAAATAGAAGTTCAGAAAAATCCAATGAACTTTCATATTTTGAATGATTTAAGTTCCTAAACTTTTTTTGAATAAATAAATTGTCAAACTTTTAGAAATTGGTTACCTACGTCCTTTTAAAAGCTAACTATAACCGGCTAGGAAGGTTTCAAAATGGAAAAATTCAACCACAAGGGTGGTGCCTGATTGGTTTGAGCTTGGCTCCAAAGGTCAAAAGTACCAGGAGGTCTCAGGTTCAAATCCAAGGAGGAATAAAAATCCCCTTGTGGCCATGGAGGTTCAAATGTGGTGACTCCGGGCTATCTGCAAAGCAGGTGGTCGCCCTGGGATTAGTCGGCTCGCATAGCGGGTTGGATATCCAGGTTAATAAAAAAAAGGGAAAAATTCATTGGGTTTTTTAAACTTCTCCTAAAAAGAATGGAAATTGCCTTTGAGATTAATGGGGTTTTCCTTGGCAGTAATCCTCCATACTTTTTCTTGATTACTGCTTCCTGCACATACAACGATTGAACATGCCGAGATAGAGTAAATGACTCTTCAAACCACAATATTCCGGTTTTTTGTTGCAAACAGACCATTTGTCTTGTCAAAATAACGATAAAAACACCGGCTTTTTACGAGAATGATCTATTTTGGACAAAAAGTGTTGAACACGATATTGGTTTTACTTCTTTTTGCATTTACAGTTCTTCTGTTTATCCAAAAAATCATTCATTCTTACCAGCTAAAGCGCGTTGGTGGCATCTTCATAAAAACGATGGTTAGCTTGTAAGGAAAAAACAAGTAAAATGGTTCAAAAAATCGATCATTTTTTACGAAATCCTGCCCCAAAATAAATATCCACATTTCTATTTCAAAATAAGTGTCCTACTTTTGTAGTAAAAAGTAGGTGTTTAGTTTCCAATTCTACCCTTAATTATGAGATGTAGAAATTCGTTCCTACCAGTAAAATTGTCATTTAGTTAATTAAGAAGCATAATAATTATATATTTCTAAAACTGGGTGCCTTTTTCATTGTGAACGTTTATTTTGGGACGAATGGAGCATCTAAAAAGCTAGTTGAGTTTGCATAAGCCGACTACTATGCATTTTGTCCCTTTAGCCATGAAACTTCCGATGTTCATAATTAACTGAAGGACTTAAATAGCCTTCAATATAGACCAGAACCAATATTACAAATCCATATGGTAACGATGACAATGGGCAAATAAGTAAATGAAGACAAAAGAATCTACCAAAGAACGGGAAATTGTTAATGGCATGAAGGCAAGTATATGAAACAGAAGTTCTGGGATGTACCTCCTGAGCTGGCGAGGGCATGGGACTGTCTTCGACTTCTTCCAAATGCTTTGGGACTTCTTCGGTAGAAGGTTCATCATTTACTTCAACTTTTGGATCGTTATCAACAAGATTAAGGTCTTTAAAACCCTCGTTTCTCTCAGACATTTTGCACATAAAACTTCAAAAAAGATCTGGTGGTAACACAAGAGTTTAATATTGGGTGAGACATATACATACGTATGTACGTAGATATATACATTCTCACATGCATGCATGCATACATACATACATACATACTTACATGCATACATACATACCATACTAACAACTATCCATCATACATGTTCTTGATTACACAAACATAATTTCTTGAACCTTTTTCTTCTCAACTGCCCATCATATATTTCTATCAGACACCTTGGTGCTTTAGCATATGCACTTTGGTGGCACCATTTGGTTTACTAGCTTCTCTTATTTTCTTTCTCCACTTATCCCATGGGTCCCCAAAGATAATAGACAGAAAAATCCCTTGAGGAGGCTCGAACCGGTCACCTATGGGGATGATCCCAAGGTCAAGCCTTTACTTGTCAGTTGAGCTAGCCATCTCATGTTCCCTCTCTCTCTCTCTCTCTCTCTCTCTATCTCTCTCTCTCCCCCTCCTATATATATAAAGGCCGGTTCAAATAAGAAGGCTAAATATCGGTAGAACTTTCATATGTGAATCATTGAAAAAATCCGAAAAAACCTATTTGAAGATGCATATGTGAATAAACGTTACAGATTATTATAAGGATTCACATATGCATCTAAATTTATGTTTTCAATAATTCACATATGAACCTTACATTCTTACCTTCTCGTAATATTTAACCTTCTTATTTGGACCTCCCACTATATATATTCAATAAGGCTAAATATCATGAGAAGGGAAGATTCGTATGTGCATTATTTGAAAAAAATTAATTTGAAGATGCATATGTGACTGTGAATCCATATGAATAACTTGTAATGTTGTTCACATATGCATCTTCAAATTGATTTTTTCGGATTCTTTCAATAGATTCACTTATGAAACTTCGTTTAACTTTCTTTCCTTCAATATTTAGCCTTCTTATTGGAACCTCCCATTACAAATATATATATATATATATGTATATATATATATATATAGTGGAGATCTCTTCTTACGCTTCTCACCGTAACTTCCTTTCTCACCGGAACCAACCTTATATATATAAATTATATACATGTATATATATGTGTATATAATTTACTTTGTTTTACCATAATCCCACATTAATGAAAGCATTTCTGTTATCTTTTTCTCAAAAAAAAAAGCAAGAGAACAGCATCTGGAGTCCAAAATTGTGAATTTTGATACAATAATCAAGTACATATCACAATTCACATACTTTAGCTCATAAGAATTACGATGCAAATCATGAACAACAAAAACATGGAGAAACCAACCTGAACTAGCATACCCTTTCGATCATCATATCGATCTACAGCACCTATTTTGTTATAAAAAGCAAATTCAACAACAAACCCAAATGCTTAATCAATTACTTTGAGTTCAGACTTCAGAGTCGTATCGACTTCAAAATGACAAGATTTGTGCAAAATTCAAGTAGCATATGTTCACAAAATCAAATAACCACATCATAAAAACATGTAAAACAATTCCAAATACTTAAATTTCCCATTCCAAAATTGTTAGCATCAACGAAGAACACACACAAAATACATACCCAAAACGCAACTAATGTGTATGATTAGCAAAAACGAAAGCAGTTCATAAATCCATGGATTCAAGAAGGAACCCACATTAAAGAACGCAAGAAATCCAACAAATTTCAACTAGCGATTACTAATCAGTTCAAGAAACCTCGAGAATCGTTAGATTTGAAGAAGTTAAATTACCAATTACCTAGGGTGATAACCAGCAGGGAAGTTGCGAAGGGAAATCAGGATTTGTTTTGGGAAGAAAAAGAAGAGAATCCAGGCGAGTGTCCTGCGTAATTCAGAGGCTGTTGTGTTCCATTTCCTAGGACTAGAATTTTTTTAATTTAAATTAACAATTAATAAACATAAAAAATACAATATTTAGATTCACTAATAATTAATTAATCATTAAATTAAATTAATAATGATTTAACAAGATAATATATATACAAAATTTATGGAAATAATCTCTCTGACTTTATTTTTATTAATTGTTATTAAGAGTGTTGAAAAACACCGTTGAACTGTTCAAACCGGTCGAATCAAATCAAATCGGATCGTTTTTGACGATTTGGTCTGGTTTGATAAATAGCAAAATCGTACGGTCCAGTCCGGTCTGCGATCTATAACCTTTTTTGGGCGGTTTGGATTAGACCGACCGCCAAATACATACATATATATATGCACACACACATACATACAAGATTGGGTTCACGTAAGACAAATGGTTTTTCGTGAAACCTGTAAGATCAATTTATGTTCAACTTGATAAGCTAATGATCTAACGCTCTAAAGCTACACGGTGGCAATTTTATGATTATTGAGAAGTCTCGTGATAATTTTGTGATTATTAATGTTTAGATTGTAGATCTAATCCAAAAGTTGAGAATTGGTCTTACGGGTCTCATGAAAAACCTTTGGTCTCACATGATTTCAAGTCCATACAAGTATACATACATATATAGAGGAGCGATCAATTGCAAATCACCTTACAAACCAATCTCATCCATCAATTTTCTTGATCAATGGTCAAGATTAAATGTGTTTATATTAGGGAAAAAAAAGAAAATAAAAATTAATTTTTAATTAAAAAAAGGGCAAAATTGTCAAAATTTTAATTTCTATCATTTTGTAAACGAGGTAATAAGATCGTGGATATCCTAACTTTAATGAAACAAAATCATTGTTTTAAAATCTCTATATATCATTTTATCATTACAAAGATTTTAACCAAAAATTTTATGAATAATCTGACAAATTATATGTTTGATAAAAATTATCTTCATTTTATGACTAAATATTATAAATAAAATAACATCCACATTAAAAATAGATCTAAGTAATGAGCAATGAAACTAAGTATATCCTAATAAATTATGAAACATAAAAGCATATTTTAATCAACAAAAAATAATGAAACATTTTGAATACTAAATAAAATATTTTGTTTCATTAAATGAAACTGTTTCATCGTTTATGTTATGAACTTACGTGACTCCTTATCACCTACAATGAAAGATGAACCATTTAGTGAACGGTATATGAAACTATTTCATTAACAATTATTGAACTACGATTGGACTTTTAATAATTTCTAATCAAAATAATTTTAAAACAAATGATATCTTAATAAACGATGAAACATATAAAGAATAAAACATTTTTGAAAATTGAATGAAACATATTGAAAACTGAGTACTTTATTTTCGTAAGTGAAATTTTTTCATGCATTAAATGTTTCGAAATATTAATAAATTATATTCATCAATGAAAATGTGTTCATGGTCACTATTGACCATGACATTCGTTTCATTATTCAAACTACATATATTTTTTCAATGAAACGAAATCAGATTTCATATTGTAGTAATTTTACAATTCATATTTTAACAAGTATGTAATTTAATAAAATAATAAAAACTATAAATGGTAACAAATTTATATTAAGAAAAATTGATTTACCACCTTCTATATTAAATGTTTTTATTATTATGTTTCCATAATTAAGAGTAATTATTACCTTCCAATATTAACCAGTATACAATGAAATGACCGTTATACCCTTACTTATTAAATTTAAAGGAAAACAAACAGAATTTTCCTATTGTTTGAAAATGGTTTGCATAGTTTTCATGAATTGGACGGTTTGTAACGTAACTCGTCTCTACATGCATGCATGCATACATACATACATACATACATACATACATACATACATACATACATACATATAGGGGTGAGCAGCGGAATCGGGTACTCGTTTGCGGAACCGGAACTGCCTTGGAACCGCCGGTTCCGGAACCGGAACCAATATGAGTGGTTCCGGTTCCTAAAATACGGAACCGATTGAGAATGGTTCCAGTTCCGGTTCTCAGTTTTTCGGAACCGTTACCCGCCGGGTACCCGGAACCGGCAGTTGTTTTCAATAAAAAAATAATTGCTTTTTTTCAATACCAAATTTATATTAAGTTACATCTTCAAATGACGCGGTCATCTTCATCTACTTTCTAGTTCTACTAAACTACAGTTCGTAGTATGTAATCGTTAAATTTTGAACATTTACAATTATAGTTTATAATCGTTAAACTTTGAACATTTTCTATTAGTCTATTATGGTTTGTAATCGTTAAAACAATATTTGTAACCATTATTCCGTATAATTTTTATTCTTGTTTATTTAATTTAGTGTTTTGGCAATATTTTATTTTTATTTCTAAATAACAAAATTTTAATATTTTAGGAAGTGTGTACCCGGAACCGGTTCCCGGCGGTTCCGGTTCCAAAAATTCAAGAACCGCTCTAACCGGTTCCKGTTCCGATTCCAATATCTCAAGAACCGCCGGTTCCGGTTCCGATTCCTGTCAAAAAGGGCGGGTACCCGCCTATGCTCACCCCTTGATACATACATACATACATACATACATACATACATACATACATACATACATACATACATACATACATACATACATACGTACATACATATTAGTATTAGCAAGCCCAACTTTTTTAACTTATAAGCTATGACTCAAATATATCCTTAAGCCCAATATAAAACCTAACATCTAACATAATCAAATCCAAATGAATTGGGGTCTAAAATTCCCCAAACCAGTAAACATATCGACACATTTGACATTGACGGTCTCCAAATTTTGAAATCTCTCAAAAACTCTATCAATCTATCAATCTTTCCTAATCCATGGTTTGATTTCGACGCACATCATCAAAACATCAACCAATTGATTCAACTCTTTCCTTCAAGTTTTTCGATTCCAAACTCAATCTGTTCACGTCCATTAAAGGCTTAAACCGCCTAAACCGGTCAGACCAGACTGTCTTTTCGTGGTCTAGTTTGACCGATCTGGACACTTGATGTCAAACTGTTCGGTTTGAAAATTTTATAAACTATCATTATGGTTTTGTTTGTGGTTTGAGGGGTTAAACCGCTCAAATCAGACCGCGAACACCCCTAATTGTTATATTTCAATTTAAATGCCAAACTTAATTTAAAAAACTATTATTAAGATTTATTTTTTAGAAAATTCAACCCCCAAATTTCTTGTCTACTATAATCACTTAGTTTTATAATTAGAAGTAATTCTTTGACATTTAAATGAAACCAAGAAAACTAATATAAAACCAATAATTATTAACATTTTTTGACAATTTTTATTTGCATATTTTCCTTATCAAGTAAACATAATATTTATATAGGGTAAATAAACCTATATATCCTCATTTTTTATGAGATTTAAACCCTTGACTTCATAAAAAACCAATGACTCACATACCGCTAGGTCAAAGATCATTTGAAAGACAATATTTTCTGTCTCTTATAATATTGTACCTGAGGTGGAACTCCAATAAGTATTGTCAGCCAAAAACAACAAAGTATACATCTATTAACCATATAATTACAAACAACTAATTATATTACGGATTTACAAAACAGAACAACCGAATTCAAATAAGTATAAATTTCAAAGATGAAATCCAGTCCATCTTCGAAAATTCTTGACGTCTTTTCCTTCAGAAACCGCCATTCCGATTCCTGTATGCCCGTCTCTCCCTATCCCAGTATAATACAATCTCCATTCATCGTCTTCACCGTCCATATGAACAAGACAAGGTGACCCGACACCTCCATCATCCCAACATCCATTTTCTTCGGCCCGCTTCAAAATGGGCCCATCTTCGACGCGACGCCAATCCTTTAGCCCGTCTGACGATAGAGCCAACCCGATAAACCGCTCCCCATCCACACCCACCCCTTCATACACCATCAAATAGCCCCCATCTTTCTTGTTCCTCACAACACAAGGATTAATCACCCCACACTCATCGAAATTACCAATTCGCCCGCCCCCCATGATCTTCCCGAGCTTCACCCACCGGATGCCATCGCGTGATCGCGCCATTCCAATCCCAAAATGCCCTTTTTCCAAATCCAACGAGTGGTAATACATCCGAAGATCACCACTAGCATGAAAAACAACTTGTGGGGAAGCAATAAACATCGAATCCCATTCACCTTCGGACCCTAAATCGAATAAAGATCCACTATGATGCTCTCCTTCAATTCTTGCCCAATGCCGACCATCTTGACTCATTGCTAAACCGATTAACGACCTGCAAACCTTCCCTTTACCGCCATTTTCAGGATTTTCTAAGCTAAATTCAAGAGAATTGTCCAAAAGTTCGATCTTTTCGTTACTAAAACCCGTGTAATACAACCAATAAACAGCATTGCTGGCTCTGATCTTGGAACTAGACATGATCACAACTTCACCTGGCATAACACCATTTGTATCAAAAGACCACCAATCACTACTCGATTTCAAGACTAAACCCACATTACTACCAGATTGAACAGCCCCTTTGCCTCTTTCCCAATGAATCCCATTACTTGACACCGCCAACCCGACTGAACCCGGATCCAAATTCCCACCGGATCGCCCATGATACCACATGTACCACCTCTCTTCTTCATCGCTCAAGAACCTCTTCACGACAGGAGAACCGATTTCGATACTGTCCCAAGAACCCTCTGAACCCAAATCAAGAACCAAACCTCTCGAAATCGAAGAATTTGGGGGAGATTTCTCTTGGTTTGAACTGGGTTTTTGTGGGTTTTGGATATTGAAGTTGGAATCGGATGAAATGGTTGAATCTTGATCTTTGATGACGTTATCTTTATCATCTGAAATTGTGGGTTTTGTGGAACAGTGGGTTAAACAGATTGGATTTTTATGGGGATTTTTAGGGTTTGAAAAAGCAGGATAAAGATCGAACAGATTTGGTCTTTTGGAAGGGATGATGCTTGGGTTTCTTGATCTTGGAGTGGTGGGAAAGAGGAGGGTGGTGTTAATGGTGGCAGTGATTTCCATGGGGGAGATGAGTGTTTCACAGAAAATATGAAAAAGATTAGAATGAAAGAGGGAGGAGTTGGCAGGCTGTGTACCACTAAAATGACGACACGTGTGTGGTTCGGATGTTTTTTTCCTTTTTTTATCCCTAGGAGGAATGTGGTTTGATATTTATAGAGGAGAAGAAGTGAGCAAAGAACAAAATTAAAGTGACCTTCCAAAAGCAAGTCACAGTCACACCATAGATTTTAATTTTGATTATTTAATTAGAGATCGATTAGCAATTGTTGAATGATTTGATATAAAATAATTAAAAGGATGACTAAAAGATTTTTATGATATAGTACAAAATAAAATATAATTATGAAAAAAGTACAATAAAAATCAATGGACTTTCTTGTTTGGAATGATTAAGTCCTTAGACTTTTTTTT